AAAAGAAAGCTTTGAAATGAAAGAATTGTAATGCACAAGTTCGATTGATCAATGTGATGTTGCATAGAGTTCGTTTGTACATTGTTAAGCATAATCATCTATCGACAAAATATCTGCTCGAGTAATTGGCTTATTGTCAGGCTACTCTTGAGCAATACCTACATCAACAACTAAATATGCCTAGTTGCCTGTGCTAGCATTAACACGTCTTCGTTGAACGCACTTAAAGCGTATGACAAGTGTCCGATTTTTTTGCGTTTTAGATTTTTTAGTTTATTAACGCGTTTAATTCTCATTTGTATCTGCTTGGGTAGCATTATTTTTTCAAGTACAAAAAAGTTAGCTTTGATGAAAAAACTGAACCAAGAAAAAGTAGCCAGAAGATCGTTATTGAGTACTGAAGTTCACTTGAAATAGCTACGCTAGTTCAATAGTAACAAGTGAATCATTTCGGAAAATTTTGGACACAACTTGTTACTTTTCTACTATGAAGAAAAGATTTTAGTTCACTTAAATACTAGCAAAATATTCAATACTACTATCGATTAAAATCCGTTTTTTTCTCGAAAACTGACCAATCTCAATGCTTGACATATATTTTTACTTAATCCGTTCATTGAAAAGAAATCATCTCCTGGAAAATGATAGACATCGACTTTTATTTTACACAATACTCATTGTGCCCAATGGTAGGATTTTGATCTTCTGCCACAAAATTCTTGATCATTTTTCGCTTATTAAAGAATTGAAAGCAAGTGCTTCATCCAGGGGAGTGTGCATCTCAAAGTCTATATTAATCGTCATTTTTATGAATTTATCTAGTCTTTCTTAAACAGAATTTTATTTCGACCTTCATTTACATATATTTCGATTTTGTTTAATTATAAAGGTTTTTTAAATTTCAATTCTAAACCCATCGAAAGCTTTCAAAAATACGTTAGCATTTTGAAATCCTTTGCTACCGTAACTCAATTTCAGACGAGCATAAATTGCATATTCGAAATCTACACAAAAGTTTACGTCATATTTTACACATTTTTGCTTAAAAGTTTTTCTTTTGAAAAATATGCCTGGACATGTATAGCTTCGGTTTACTGACCACCAACGTCACTGACTGCATAAACACACTGAGATCAGTGTCCACTAAAACTGACAAAGATAGTGCTGTACAAGAAAAAAATTTTGACATGACTGGTATCTCAATCTTACGATAAACACGGATATCAATGCAATGAATTCCTCAGTGCCAATGTTTCAGTATTTACATTAAGATTGTATAAGATTTGTTTGAAAGAGTATACAAGAATGCATAGAAAGGCGTCCTAGATAGTTGATAGGATAGAACCATTTCCACAATCTCATACTCTAAATCTGGTATATTTTGTGCTGGAAATATGAAACACATCTATCAAACAATGAGTAAACCATTGACTGTTCTGTCGCAAGGAATTAGTAACGATTTGGCTACAAATTGAATGTTACTTTATGCCCAAGAAAATATTGTCATTGAATGATTCCTAAGATGCATTTTGTTCAGTACTTATTTCAAGTGATCTTGTCAGTACACTTGCATCTGTACTTCTCATATTCATTCAATTCTTATTCGACGAATTTCGAGATAAAGCTTTGAGCATTCTTCTAACAAGTCGTACTGCCGACATTTTTTCAATGTTCATCTATGTGATTCTAATCGATGTTACATTTAGTATTGCGAGTTTAGTAACAAGTATAAACATCACTATTGATATTATTATTGGTGGATAAGTTAGTCAAATTTTCAATCGAAAGATTTTGGGAAAAATTGACCATAGCTAACTTGAAATACAGAGTGCTTCAAAAGTCCGAATGAAAAAGAAGTGTGAATATATTTCTTTGATTTTGTTGGATGCTTCTTAATGTGTTGTTTGATAGAATTTCACTTGTACAAGTTGTTCAAAATAATATTTAACTGCTGAAATGAATGACTTCGTCATTCTCAAATATTTAGAGAAAAGATCCTAGATAGAGTCTTCGAGTGTAAAATATACGAATGATGAGATCTAATTCAAAGTTCTAATCAACACAGGTCGATTCAATATACATCATAAGAGTATCAATGTGAGTGTGGATGAAGAAAGAGTAGACCTACAACCACGTTTATAAACACACTCAAACTTTAACATCTTGTCAACTTTTATCTAAATAACATTGAAAATGAGATGTTGTACATTTTGAATTACTGCGATTCAAAATTGCCTTTTGGAGATGTTATTCATTCTGGTAGTTTTCTATTTTGGCGTTCTCTCTAAATAACTCAATCTTGAAAATCAAAAATGAAAATTAATACTGCACGTGTGAATAATAAAATAATAATTCTAAAAACGCAAAAAAAAAGCACAACTATATTCATGCTTACTATGATCTTCAAGAAAACATATCTCCATTGTTATTTATACTTCGCTGTGTTTATATCTAAGTAAACTTACATACTATGATAGTTAATCCATTCTAGTGATAGTTTTGATTGCATTCTAAAACAATTGTGATGGTACATATTGAGAAAATGTACGTTTGTCATTAGAGTATACTATTGTCGAAAAACTACTCGAAAGTTGAAGAGAACCGATGGATTATGTACAAGTATAGGAAGAGATGCCTGAGCGCTTTAACTGGAACTGTGTCAGTAATTTTTCTTTTTTGACTCAACGATGAGAGATTACACTCGATCAGTTTATAACGGAAACGATAAATATAAACACATCAACGGATTTTCTAATGTTTCTACAAACTTGAACTGGAGATTTCAAGAGAACCTTAAGTCTCTGTTTCATTGAAAGAATCATCACTCTTATGGGCCTTCCATTGTCGATTGGTTCGATCGAGCACTGATTGCTCTTAACTTCCAGCTATGATACATATAAGAGAGTGTTATAAAGTAAGAAAAAGTGAAGGTGAACTTTTTCTCATCTATATTTATGTAATATTTTTTTTAAATAGTTATTTCAGCTTTTCTTCCTCTAGGTTCTTTATTGTTCTTGGCGAGTCATGCTTACTTTTCAAGTTGAAATAAGAATGGCTATCTCGAAACTCTGTGTTCTTCCAACTGATTGTTCTTTCTCTATAAATAAATACATGATATAAAGGAGAAAAGTTCCAAAATTTTATTTGAATTAAAGATCAATAATAGAAATATTAGTCCGCATGTTAAAACATGCACTTTCTCGCGGAATTATTTATGAATGAAAATTGTCAAAGTCTTGCCAAAATAATTTTGAATTCCAATGATGGCCTGCTTGCGAGTGTCACCTTTGGACGACCGATATATGATCTGAAAGAGATCATGTCAACTATCAAATGTGTTTGCATCATCACCAGATTTTCGTTCATTATCAATAGCACCACATCGATGAGATAAGGGTCGATTTTGGGATGGATTTGCTTTTTTAGTTGACTTAACATGAAACTTTTTTGGATTATCTTTGATTGTTGTTGTTATGTTCGCCAGCAGAATGTTTTGCTGGT